ATTGAAATACTGGAGAAAAGCAGATCAAAAAATAAAAAGATCAATGTTAGAGTAACTGAATCAGTTTTAGCAGAGTCGCTGATGACAGATGCTTTTTTTAATTGTATCTATTTTTGAAAAAGTCAATTTTACTTCAATAATTAGAAATTAAGTATTTGAAACTGAATAATTTTTAAAACATCATATTTTGGCATTTAAAAAACAACTAATAAGAACATAAACTAAACACTGTAAGCAACAGTGCACACATCCTATTTATAAATAAAAAAGAATCATTTTCCATTTAGTTAATTATTATTATTTGATTTTCATCAAACCAACTTCAAGAAATATTGAGTAAAATGTTTGGGTTAACACTTTAGCTCACAATTTATGCTATTAACTACTGGCTTATTACCTGCCTATTATTAAGATATTAATTAGTTATTCTGCGTACCTAATTCTACCAAAACCCAGTGATGACCTAATAATACACAGCTAATTAGTAGTTTATTAAGCTAGTGGTGTTAGTTAATGGTTTGTTAACACCATGAATTGTGACCTAAACTAAAGCGCTACTGAAGTTTAAAACAACTGTTTATCTAATAATTTTTACAGTTTTATTTTCTTCATTGGTGTAAAGCACTTAAATAAATGGACTTCGTTACTTTACTTAAGTATTTTTTGCAACCCAAGCTCATTCTGGAAACGTAGCCCAGCGGACGTTTCTGGAGACCGCGATTTACGTGGCCGGAGGTACGTACAGACACGTTTAGTTTTTTTCGAGCAAACGCTGCGGGGCGGTGTGGCGCCGCTCCGCTCCTCCTCTTCGCGCTCGCTGGCCGACGGCTCGCCTCTGAGTGGAGGGCTTTCCCGATGCAATCAGTTTGTCTGCTTAGCTCACAGCGGAGCGGAGGCCCCAGAGGAGGAGCAGGCCGCGGGGACGACGACCGGGATCCGGGGAACAGCGGTTCCAGAAATCAGGTAAGATGAAAAACGGAATCCGAAAAATAAGGGCGAGAACGTGGCGGGATCCAAAAAAAAACGGTCAAAATCGAAGACGAAGGCTTTTGCTTTTTTTTTTTTTCTGGACGGCCTTAGCAAACCGTCGCTCGGGTTTAGGGAAGGAGGAGGAGGAGGAGGAGGAGGAAGAGGAGGGCGGCCGATCCGGCGGCTTTTCGCGCTAGAATGGCGCGGACGCGAACAGCGCGCGCTCCCGCGGATCCGCAAAAC